TAGGGATAGTGGTGGTGATGATGATAATGATCATCACAATGATGGCAATGATGTTGATGGTGATGGTAGGGATGGTGGTGATGGGGATGATAGTGATGATGGTAGTGGTGATGGTAATGATTATAATGGTGGTGGTAGTGATGATGATGATGATGTTGACTGTTTGCCCCAGGGCCCCCTCCCCTGCCCCATGGGGCCATATCCCAGAACACAATTATGACTGTCCAGAATCAGAGGACAGGAAATGCCTACACAGAGAGAATTTTTCACAAAGTAGTCAGAAGTAATATCCTCTCTGAAGGTTCTCTTTTTTTAAAATAATTGTGAAAGCAGAGGGAAATTTACTGCTTTTAATATTCCTACGGAACCACATTACAAATATGGTAAACCTTATGTTTATCCCTTTCTTTTAAATTGTCTTGATCTCTGAAATCTCAGTCTTGGAACCACTGCCTAACTGACCTAGCCTAGAAATGGTCCCCCTCCTGAAACATGTTTTCCCTCTGGTAAACACACACACACACACACACAAACATTCCACTTCACACTCACCTTTCTGCTTCTAGACACTAAAACTTCAGACCTGCTCAGTCAGCTGTTAGTGCCCAGCAGTTCCCTAGACAACCAGAGCTGCCGCACAGGAGTTGTGGAACAGAACACGTAAGAGTTCTAATGACAATTAACAGCCAGTCCCTGTGGTCCTTAAGTTGGCTTTGTGAGCTACTCTGTTTATCCCTTCTAAAAGTGCAAGTGTCATTTATCCCTCCAGGGACCTGGCATGTGTGTGGTCCTGACGTGGCTTTCCTAGGGCTTGCCTCACCAGGCATTGCCTGGCCATGTGCTCTCTCCATACAGGTATCTGCCCACTGGGGCCCCCAGCCTAGCCCATGAAAGGTCAGCATCCTTGAGCTCCTTCCTCACCATCTATGCTTTTCACTGTCCTGAACCCCACCAGGAGGAGCCAAAGGCCCCACCCCATGAGGCCCCATCTAGTGACTCTGCCCTCAGAGCACAGGGCCTAGCTGGCAGGTGGACCTGATAAAGGATGACTGGAATTGGACATGTGCAAGCTGCAGGATGCCAGGAGGAAGGACATAAGACATCTGGACACATTTGGTCCAGATGACAAACACCGGGGAGGCTGCAACCTGGTGGACTGAAGCCAAGCCTGGCAAGGGCCCCATGCACTCTGATGGCGTGCAGTTGTTTTTATTTGCAAATTGTATGATAGGTACTTTATGTTAGGTAGGCATGCCTTTGCATTGCATACCTACTAGAAGTTAAACAGTGAGGGCACAATACAGAGAAAAATAAGGCCATGTCCTCATCCTCGAGCATTGCAGGGAGAAGGATTCACACCCTCCCCTGGAGATCAGATAGTATGGTCTTGTTAAGAGCATGGCTCTGGAGCCTGTCTTGCAGCCAGGGTGCTGATCCTGACCTTACCATGTGACTTTGTCTTGTCAGCCCTTACCATCACCATCCACAAAAAGGGTCCAGTCATCCCATCTCTGTTGACATGCCTAGAAAACCACAGATCATGATGCAGAGGAAAGACTCAATAATGTCAATGTGGATGAAGACAGCGATGATGCAGAGAGACAGATGCAGAGCAGAGGATGATGGCTCATTAATGATTTTAAGTCTGCAGTCCAATGATTTTATATCTCAGTGCCCTTTTTTATATGCAGTATGACAAAGTGACAGAAGTGTGTATTATTGGCAACTTCACTTTTGGCGATCTGTTTACTGTGTCATCCTGCACTTTTCTTGAAACTTAAATTGCTTCTTTTGTTTGTATAAAGGCATTGTTTTTTCCTTTGCTTTGTGGAAGAGATAAACATTTCAGTTTGGGGCATTTTGTTGAAGACCATTGTGCTGTGTTGTTTCAATACCAGAGTAAGCAGCGGTTGATTAGTGATGCCGTGTACATTGGCAGACGTGAAAACAGTAGAGTCCTTTTCAGTTAAGCTTAAATGGGGTTATTCTTTTAAATAACAATAGTTTTAAGTAAATAACAGTTCTGAGCAGGGCTTTGAAGGGTAACATTAAATGAAATAGAACCACAGCGTAGCTTCCCCTGGCTAGACTGGACAGGACCTACAGAGCAGCATGTGAAGGCTCTTCCTTGGGTGCTCAGATGGTCAAACGATGACACAGCGGAAGTGCTTGGTATACACTTAGCACTCAGTGAGTGTCAGTGATGACGATGGTGATGATGGGGTGCCTATATAGGGAACCAATCACAAGCTTTGTATTTTAGGGCCTTGGGTATTTGTGGGGGCAAGCAGAAGGGATGGAGAAGTAGGTAGTAGCCAAGTCACAGAGGACCCCATTTGCCCAGCACATCAGTTAAGATAGGGTTAGCTGCTGAAACAAAGAAACTCAGGGAGTGCAGCCTAATGCAATAGAAATATATTTCTTGCTCACATAATAGCCCACTATAGAGAACCAGGAATCTTTTTGTTTGGGCTTTGTTTGTTTGAGAAATAGGTGTTTTTGCTATAGGGTACACACGTTTGCTGGAGACAGAGAGAGAGAAAGCAAGAAATCACCCCCCAGAGGGATGGCCACACCACAGTCCCTTCTTCTTTGGGGATTTTGGGCATGCACACATATACCTGGCATTAGTTTCAAGTTGCCAGGTCCAGGACTTGAACCATGGTCATCCATGTAAGAGTCTAGAGCTTTAACCACCATCCCAGCTGCTGGGCCCAAGGCAACATGATTTTAGCTGTTGTCTCTGCCATTCTCTAGGAATCCTGAGCCCTTAGCAGGCAGAAGCTAGGAGGGAAGAGAAAGTCTGGGCTTCTAAAGAAGCCTAGGCTTGGAAGGGAGCCTTCTCTTTGCTGTGTCCTCATCCCATTGATGAGAATCAGTCACATGGGCATGCCTGGGTACAAGGGAAGCTGGGAAATGTAATTCTGGACTGGATATCTGTCTCCTTTCCTACCCCCCAGGGCGACACCACACTATTTGGAAAATGGAATGGACAACAGGCTCTTTCTAGGCATAAAAGAAGCCAAGACTTTCAATATCTTTACTGGTGTCCACTTTTTAATTTTTTTTATTATTGGAACCAGCAGATGACATAATGGTTATATCACTGGGCTCCCACAATGTCACAGTTGAAGTCCCAGACCTAGCAAGTTGAAACTCAGGCCAGGCACATGTGCATGTGTGCCCAAAATCCTGAGAGGAGAATGGAGAAGAAGAGATTTTAATGTGGCCATCCCTGCTGGGAAGCGATTTCTTGTTTTCTCTCTCTCTGGCAAGCACATGCACCCTAGAGAAAAAAAAAAATCTCTCAAAAATTTTTTTTATTTAATAGTATTTTTGAATGGCAAATCAGAACTCTACACATCTATGGAGTACAATGTGATGTTTACACACACACATATACACATACATGATGTGGTATGACTAAATCAAGATATCAATATATTCCTCACCTTACATTCCTATCAATTTTTATGGTGAGACATTTAAAATTTATTCATTTTTTTTAATTGCCAGAGGGCACGGACACTCACCAGAAAGAGATGGAGAGAAATAGAGGAATAAAGCACATTTCCCCATCCTGTCAGGACGTGGTCAGATATGCGTACACACACACATCACGCATATCTGACTTGTCTGTCAAGCCTCTGGGGCTGGTATTCATACCTTGGCTAGCCACTTTGAGAGTCAGCTCTTTTAACCACTAGACTATAGGGTCAGCCCAAAACTTACTCTCTTCATTATTTTAAATGTGTAATACATCTTTAATTTTCTTTAAGGTTTTTGCCATAGGGTATATGAGCTCACCAGAGGAAAAGAGACAGACAGAGGGAGAAAGCAATAAGCCAACCCCCCAAGGGTGATGGTCACACTGCAATTCCTTCTCCTTTCTCTTCTTGGGATTTTGGGTACTCACGCACACGTGCCCAGCATGATTTTCAAGCTGCCAGGTCCAAGACTTGAACCGTGATCAGCCCTGTGGGAGTCCACATCTTTAACCACCACACCACCTCCTGGCTCCTGTATAATACATCTTTTTTATTCACTATGGCAATCCAGCTGTGTAATAGATATTAAAGCCTTTTCTTCCAAACTGAAACTTTTTACCCTTTGACCAACACCTCTGCCAATGTGTTTTGGGGTTCAAATAAAAAAATCACATTTTCTTTTGAATATGGAATGGAGGAGAGAGCAACAGAGAGGGTTATAGGACTTTGAATTTGATTTCAGAACAGTTTTCTGAAGTTAATTGCATAGTCTCTCTGAATTTTTTTTTACAGGATTTAGGAAGGAGGTTGTACAGAATATCCTATTGAGGAAGACAATATCTAAAGAGTAAATAGTGAGCCTCTGTATTTCTTGTATTTGTATTGTTATGGGTATCCCCCTCCCCAAGCCCTGAGCTATCTGTTAAATCTAATTACATCACTTATATTATTTACCATGAAATTTACATCTAAATCTGCTGAGTAAGGGAAGCAAATGGAGGACTTAATTAGGAAGGTTAGTCATGTTCTTTGGTGTGTGTGTGTTTAAGGAGAAAGCAACTCTAATCAGGAAAATTACAATAAAGGCTCCTTTTCCCCCAAAGGCAGTCATTGCATGTTCTCAGATTTGCTTAGAAGGCTCAATGGTGTCTTTTCCAGAAACCGTTCTAGTGGCTTCCGTGTGCTGAGCGGGTGGTCACTATTGCACCGGAACTTTCCTGGTGCTTTCTCCTCTGTGACATGTTTTTACTATAGCTGAGCGCCGCTGAATTCCGTCTTCATTTCAGAGCAGAACTCCTAACTCTCCTGTGGTCAGCACTGGATCATATGCCTTCCCCAAATTTTGCAGAGTCAGGCCCCAGAACCAGGTCCTCTCTTCCTCCCAGATCTTTTCTCAGAAGACTGGATCTCACGTTTCGTGGACAGATCTATGAAAGGCCTAGCCAGCCTCACATGGGATCAGGTGTGAGGATTGGGCATTCCCTAACCTATGTTTCTCTTCCCTGTCTACAGAAACCCGTGCAGACCGCAGCAAGAAACTCTTCAGGCACTACACGGTGGGCTCATATGACAGCTTTGATGCTTCCAGGTAAGACCCTCTTCAGTGTCCACCAGGACCCTGAGGTTAATGGTGCCTGTGTGTCATACATGTTGGGCCATCCCATGTGGGGTTAGGGACCCCCTTGGTTTATTTCTTCCTGTGTGTCCACTGTGCTAGGATTATGGAAGCTGCCATTTCCCAGAGAACCTGCCTAAGGGGTGGTCTCAGTGCCACCTGCTCCTTGGGTCAAGCTGGAAGACATCTGTCTTGGGGGAGGGGGCTCCTAAAGAGAGGACTGGCTGACTCTCCAGGAAGATAAAAACGCGTTTTGTTTGGGGAGAAAGCAGTATGCATGTTACAGATGACAGCAATTGGCTGCAAGAGCTGCAGGCTCTTTTTCCTTCAAGGTGGGAGCATCCCCCAGGGGAAATGTTTAGGCTGCCTTAGGTCTGGGTATCCTCGTCATATTTCCCATATTTATTCCTACTGCTTTTGCTTAGTGGGAGTTTCTGTTCAGGAAGGCCCATTTCCCTTTCTTCCTATTTTTTTTTTAATTGTCAGAGGGCACATATGTCATACATGTTGGGCCATCCCATGTGGGGTTAGGGACCCCCTTGGTTTATTTCTTCCTGTGTGTCCACTGTGCTAGGATTATGGAAGCTGCCATTTCCCAGAGAACCTGCCTAAGGGGTGGTCTCAGTGCCACCTGCTCCTTGGGTCAAGCTGGAAGACATCTGTCTTGGGGGAGGGGGCTCCTAAAGAGAGGACTGGCTGACTCTCCAGGAAGATAAAAACGCGTTTTGTTTGGGGAGAAAGCAGTATGCATGTTACAGATGACAGCAATTGGCTGCAAGAGCTGCAGGCTCTTTTTCCTTCAAGGTGGGAGCATCCCCCAGGGGAAATGTTTAGGCTGCCTTAGGTCTGGGTATCCTCGTCATATTTCCCATATTTATTCCTACTGCTTTTGCTTAGTGGGAGTTTCTGTTCAGGAAGGCCCATTTCCCTTTCTTCCTATTTTTTTTTTTAATTGTCAGAGGGCACATACATTGCCAGAGATGGAGAGAGGAGGAAGCACCCTCAATGGGGAGTGGCACACCGCAATCCCTCCTCCATGTCAGGATTTCGGTATGTGTGCATACATAGCCCGTGTGTTTTGTAAGCTTCCAGGGCTAGAGTTAGGACCGTGGTCAATCATATAGGATCTGGCTCCCTTGACCACTGAGCTGTGTGTCTGTCTCATTCATTCCTCTTGATGGCACAATACCAAGCAGCAGCAGATCATTGAAGCTTGTGGGTTTGGGTTTGTTTGGTTTGAGGCGAAGAGCTTCACATCTTTGATGATGTGGCTGGCACGGGCCGTGCGGTTGGATTCTCCTGCAGAAGCCACGTTGGTATAGCACACACTACGGGGATGTCCTCGGGTTGCTATGTCCCTCTTCCCTCTAACTCCAGGGCAGCAGGGGCTAGGGCAGGTCCTACAGCTCAAAGGCAGTGCCCATTTCTGGCCAATGGTTTTGTAGCAGCTGGAAACCAGCAGCTGCTCTTTTGACCACTCTTCCTACTGCTGCATAAACTTCTCCATGCTAAGGATCCCCAAGCATCAAGTTTCTCTGTGCCTTTGTTTTAAGCCACCAGTCACCCTGCACTAGCGTTAATGCCATACTGTGGGCTAGAGGATGAGGTGGAGAAATGCCCCTCTGTGTGGGGAGTCTGTACTCCCCTAAGACAGAGGGTTCTTCATGGACGTTGAGTTAAGGTGTGATGCAGGAAAGGAAGGGACACACAGGCAGTGTGCCCATCAGGACATGAGACTCCTGGGTCCGGCCCTGCTGGACAGATCCATGGGGCCGTTTCTGAGAGGCCCAACAATGGGTTGCCTGTGCAGGAGGGCCGGGCTGCAGAGGGGGTTCAGTCCATTCTTCGGTTGCTACAATTGAATGCCACCAGTGGGTACTTTGTAGAGAGCAGAGGTTTGTTTAGTTCGCAGTTTGGGAGATCCAGGGTTGAGGAGCTAAATCTGGTCAGGGTCTTCTTGTTGGTGAAGACCCTCTGCAGAGCCCTGAAATGGCACAAGCGTCACCAGATGAGCAGTGCCAGCCTGTCTGTGTGCCTTCTTATAAAGAAGGAGAACGACCAGACGCTACAAACCCACCAGAATTCAGTCATGGGCACCACGACGGTCCTGGTGGTTAATGGTGCCCCTGTGTCACATACACACTGGACCATCTTAATGACTTTATCTAATCCTAATCACCCCACCTCTTAGTACCAATCTCATCGCACTTCCACCCTTACAGTGGCAGTTAAGTTTCCGTACATTTGAGGGACACGTTCAGACCATAGACCACAGGAAGGGTCCCAACACCCTGCCCTGGGTTCTGCCCTGACCTTGAGGGGGTCTATACTGAGCAGCTCAGACCTGTTCCCTTAACTGTCATCCACCTGCTGAGGGAGCAGACCTGGCTTGGTTTGTTTTTATCAAATAAAATTCATTATCACAAAATCTGCCATTTTAAAGTGAACAGTGCATTGGCCTTCAGCTCCTGCCAATATTGTGTAACACCACCTCTCTGGTTCCCCAAAAGGAAACCCCATACCCATTAGCAGCCGCTCTCCATTTCCCTCCCCTGCAGCCCCTAGCAACCACCAGTCTGCCTTCTGTCTGCAGGGACGTGCCTGTTCTGGGCGTGTGTGCCTGGCATCTTTCCTTTAGCGTAATGTCTTCAAGGTTCAGCCAAGTTACTGTATGTGTAAGTACTGCA